ACTTGAAGTGTGTGTTTTGTGGGGGTGGAGCTGCAGGTTATCATGCAGAGCTGCGTGTCTCCTCTCCTGTCCGATTATAACTTCACTCACGTTTATGTCCATATCGATCAAATCTAGCTGGAAGCTCCTGCTGGGTGCACTGTCCTGCGACATACCGGGAAATGGCTCGAAACACTGGGGCTATTGCGTCATCGTTAGCAGGATATTATCATTATAGGGCGTAATCACGGAGCTGTTTGCCCCCCCCCAGAGCGTTTCGATTGCAGATCTACCCACCTTGGGACCCGTTATCGTTATCGTTTTCTGCGTTTCCATGTCGGCCTCGTGTGGCCGAACCGTCTATCTGTTAGAGAACTGTAGCAGATACGACCGTTATCATCCTCGTGTGGCTGCAGCCTTGGTGTTTTTCCATTAAAACACGTTGGTACCCCCCTGCTGTGTATTCTCACTATCACATTCACACTGTTCTTGATATAAAAGTAATTCATGTTTTTTGGTCAGTGCAAACAGGAAATAGCACAACTTTGTATTATGCAGATGTAGCAACATGTAACATCTATATGGGCTCAGAACAGTCTCATAATACACACATGCACACAGAAGGATTCAAACTTGTATTTCATGATCCGCAAAAGGATCCACACTTGTGTTTTTCAATGCACACACAAATGGGTTCCGTTTCATATACATGTAAATAAAATCAGGCTCTGTTATTGAAGTCTGGAGTCATAGCTACCTAGGTCTCTTCTCCTTTGAAAAATTCCATCAAAAACGTATTTATTTGATGGGGAGCTGTGTCTCAACAGATTTATAGATATTTAATAACACCTTGAACGGTATAGAACAGAAGTAGACACATTCGGTCGTAAAGAATTATCTGCAGACTGACATATGGTATTTACCGGTTGTTCTCAATTGCCTCTCATATAATTAGGGAGAAAGGTTGTATGTACATATGTTTGAGTTTACACAGAAGCCCAGTGTACACGCTGATGACTAGCAAGTATCTCTCCCCCAAGTGCAGATGGGTAATTACCCGCTGAGATCATGTGCTTTCGTGTGGAAAGTGGTTCGGTATCACAGGGCTCCCCGTCACAGCATGTCAGTGGTGAATCAGTCGTGTGTGTCAAGCCAGGTTTAGTTCTTTCTTATTCACCTAACACCTCGCTGCTCCACGACGTTTTAGAGCCTTGTGCTTACAAGCCTGTGGAAGAATACATCGGGTTTACTCCACGTCATATTGAAGTCTATGTCTTAGCTCTTGTGGCGTATCCAATTGTATATGTGAAGGTGTCACTTCAGCAGTCAACACCATGGTCGATTCTTGACTTCCTATAGTTATGTATTTTATTTATAACGATAACAGCGATTAGCAAGACGTTACGGATAAAGTGCCTCTTACTTTAGTCAAGTCAGAAACAGTGTCTGTGCACTGTCGATCTCGTATCGTCTTGACTATCGATACGTGACCAGACATGTTACGGTCTTTTTCATTTCTTACCCTCTTATTTATAGGGTTTCAGATAGGTGAAAATAATATAAAAAATTACACAAAGACCACGGAGAAAGTCAACTATGTCATCTACTTCCTACACAGGTCCTACATCTTGAGGACACACCACTTGTAACCTATCTCGTTTGTCCTGTCCAGTAGTCACAGCAAGTACACAGATAGATCACATCGTGTTCCGTATTGCATTGTCGTTCTTTTGTCTCGCCAGCTAGTTCCAAGTACGAGCTCTCGCTCTTGACATCTGACAATGATCCCAGATAGCGCCCGGTTAATTTGAAGTCTTTCAGTCGCCCGTGAGATTTTTCTTTACGCATAGGGGGATAGTAAACCAAAGGAGATATGTAAGGTGCACTCTATCCCACCGTCTTTTGACACAGTCTAGTGATCGAATTATATAGAGGGCACCTGGCGCAGAAAAAAGCTTCTCTGATGGACCGATACGACTGGGGTTCGTGGTGGTTCCTGTGTAGAGAAAGGCTATACATCTTCTCTCGCATCAAATAAAAGGGTTTAGCAGTTGTTAACAGTATATAACACACACACCAAAACACCCAGGAGAAACTCAAACTCTGTGACCATTTCCACTTCCTACGAATCTTTTCTGGTTTGTGACCTACAGAACAGTCAGCGGTTATACCCCACAAAATGCTTCTGTCACTATTAATTCCCCTTTAGGACGTCATGAGTTTCCGGAGCAGAGACAAGGGATTTGCGTAAACCCTCACTAATGGGTAGTCGGGCCCCCACGGTCTCCTTTCCGTCTGAATGTTGGCCAGGACGTGCAACAAAGAGAAAGTCTTAGTGTCTCCTGACAAACATATATGCTAGTGTCTGTGCGACGTTTGCCACAGGCGGTTTTCAGCTCAGTAAAAACAAACAATATCAGAACCCTTCTAACTTTACCATCCCCTTTCGGTCGACTCAGGCATCGGCATCTTTGTACAGTTTTCGCCATTCTGATGCGGGTTTAGCTCCAACCGTCCATAGCCAGAGTACACCCTCCTGTGCAAATAACTCGGCTAACGCACACTGCCTTCTCAAAAAATATAGGCTTAAGACAAGCAATAGCAAAGTACATTTGCCTCCGGATTCTCTGCTGTTAGTCTTGTACCTCGTGTCCCCTTCTGTTCTGATTTATGTCGTCTTCCCCTTAGTGGTCCTGTTCTGTGTCGACCCGTCCCTCCGTCTTTGTGTCCCTCTTGTCCACTTGTGTTAGTCTGTATGGTCCCTTCGTTCTTATCCTCCGTTTTTGTCTTCTTTCGTCCTAGTCTGTTGTGTGTTCCTCCTTTGAAAGTTTTTATTTTTCCACCTTTTACTTTTGTGTATTTAGGTTTTTGTACTGTGAACCACTAATTAGGATTCGTATAGAGGACTTGATATGTACGTCAAAAAAAATTTTTCGAGATAAAATAACGAAATTAACGAAGTAAAATGAATTTTCCTGTTACGGAATATATTACTCTTTACATATACAAATTACAAAAGACATTGTTTGTTGAGATTAAACCTGAGGATGTGTAATTTATACTATTACGACTAAAGAGGCACCTCCAGCTTTTCTTCTTTTTTTTTTTTTTTTTGCCAGGTTGTAAAACCTACCCCATCCGCACCAGGGGAACTACGGTCCAGATTTACCGTTGTAGTCATGTTTAATTCCCAGTACCACTCTACTTTATTATTTTTAATTGGTGATGTTCTCGTCTCACGTGTCTGGTCAATTTAGGTAACGACTCCACATTATGGATGACCAGTCCGGGTCAGTTAGGACATTACCGGACAATTCTGTGTTATTCGAGTAATCTCCACTTTCGGAAACATTAGAACTTGTGAACGACCGAAAAATTGGTCCGGATGGTGTGAAATCTTAGAAGTATGGCCTGAATATTCGTGTCGTTTGGATCGAGGTACTTTTTATTGAATCGAGGTATTTTGTTTTGGAAAAAGTAGGCTGTCCCTTACCAATAGATTCGTTCTTCTCAAAACCTTCCGAACTGACCTGAAAGACCTTTTGTTTCACGGTAAAAAATGAGAAGTTACCGAAAAGACTCAGTGGTAAAACCCATCATTTGTTGTGTGAGTTATAGACTGCATGGATGAAAAGTTGTGAAGACGTAAGTTACCTGTTCATGACTATGCCTTTGTTTCCTGGAACAAATACCGAGAATGAAGAGAGAATAGGAGTTTCATTTCATGTGACCAGTCGTCACTTAACGATTGTTACCAACGGATAATAACGTATGGTGAATAAACTGATAACTGTGAGGGTTGATGTCTCTTACTAACTTTTGTAAAGAATATAGCATAATGTAATATCCATAACGTTAGTTGTAGTGTTACACAGAAAATCCGGCGTCGGTGTGCAACTGGTATTGCTTTGCGTGGTTTTAGCAATAGTTATTTTCAGAAGGCGGGTGTGCTTATCGTGGTCTTTTGCACAGGCAGGTGTGCTCTTGGCGAGCTTCACCGTGACAAGAAGGACGGTGTTTATGTGGTTTTTCGTCGCTTCTTCTGAAGAACGCGACGTACCAACGGTACTCAACGGGAAGGACAAAAGAGGTACGTACCTAAATCTGTCGTGCTCCACCCCAAAGCGGCCAGTGTACAGGCAATTTCAACTTAGAAGGCCTGTTTTAATCTTTCACGGCCAGTTTCCAGAAGACAACAATAAATAACCTTCGAAATTTTGTTTACTTATTGCCTGAGAATATTATTTCTTATTATTAGTGCGTCTTGCCTCGGAGAGAAAAGGAAGGGGGAGAGGACTGTCGGGCAGTCATAGGCACCAGAGTACGTCGACGACTAAGTCATTACTAACTGGGCTGTCATTTTATATTTGTATAAATATTGATCAAATCCATCAAAACTCTCCATTAATTTTATGATTCCATACTAGATTGAACTTCACACACAAAACACCCCCACCTCGACGTCCAATAGTACGTCTCGACGCACAAGGAGAGGACAGGCTAATAATTGACAGTGAGTGCAATCAGGTATAGCTAGTTTAATCGACCTCGAGGACGACCCACGTGACAGGACGCTGTATGGCCGCTTTACGAGCTTGTGACCCCGATAACGCAGTAGCAATCGTCCTATAATAGTAATATCCGCATTAGGCCTCGACAAACGGGGGGGGTCTCGCAAAGCTAACGTCTAGATGGTGGAAACCCTGGGCAATAGCAATAGCAAAAAGACGCAAAGGTAACAGCGGGAGGCACACCGGCTTGTGCAGATAAGACAATCTCTTGACATCGTCTATGCTGGCAATAGTAGGAGCACACGACGTCCGGAACCACAAAAAGGTATTTGTGCAACCATGGGGGGAGACACTATAAGAGTGATAGTGTAAGTGTGACAAGAACTATTAATTTTTCATAAGTTATCAAAAAAACCAGTCACGTTTTGTCCTTTATCGTGTTGACATAAATACGTCTTTACATCGTTTGTACATCTGTAGAATATACACCCGAGTCTTGTCAGAGTAATTATGGGTACGTGTGTCTTCCTTTAAGTTTGAACATAAAGTACTAGGCGTTTCCTGGTGTTGAACACAAAAAGTTACGTGTGTGTTTACCCAAGGCAAAGTATATGTACATTTATTTTAGTTTATGTCTTTTTTAAAATATTTTACACATAAAACTAGGTGTGTAAACAAAGGCAAATTTTGGAGACTCGGGACGTTTGTGTTTGGTTGAAAGACACGTACCTAGGCGACACGTAAAACACCACCAAATAACTCTAGGGGACTGCCAGTCGGCTAAGCATGAACATTAAAAGAGAGTAGATATTCGGTTAGTCTACAGAGGAGTTAAGATATCGGTTAGTGTACGCGCGCCGGGGTGCTCCCATACACTAAATAACGCAAGTACTGATCGCGAAGTACATGCGTAAAACGCGTCAGGCCTCGACTGTCTCACGTACCTGCGAAGTCCGCTAGTCATCTAGAGTCCAGTGGCAGTCTGAGAGTCGACTAGACTAGAGAAGAGCTTATCCTTTACGTGCAGTTAGTGTCGAAATACAAGTATTTCGCTAGTCGCGGTCAAACTACTAACGGAACACCATGTGTTTCTAATGTCGTTTTGGCATAAATCTACACACAATAGCTACGGCTATTATGCGACGAAATCAAATACAGACATCCTTACACGAAGACGCATCACCTGCACTAGTCGAAGTCAATCGAATTGGATATCGACGAGTGACGTGATGCTTCGGTCAAGGATGCTGTCACTGACAGTTGCGCTCCACATGGCGCCAGTAATGTGCTTGAGTGAGTAAATTTATCCAAACTAACCTTAAAAGCACATATGTTCCGCTAAGTCGCTTTCACCGCGACCTAGCTATACCTGTATTTCCGCTCACTCACATGGCCTACGCTCTCTCCTAGTCTAGTCGACGACTCAGACTCGCCTCTGTACGTCGAGATGTACTAGTGGACTTCGCGGCGGGAGACAACGCTCGACTGGCCTGTCGCGTTTTACCGCATGTACTTCGAGCAGTACTTGCGTTTATTTAGTATGGGAGCATCCCCTGCGCGAGTACACTAACCGATCTTAACCTCCTTGTAGACTAACCGATATCTACTCTCTTAATGTTCATGTCTTAGCCCACTCGCAGTCCCCTCAGAGTTATTTGGTGTGTGTTTTACGTGTCGCTTAGGCACGTGTCTTTCAGCCAAACACACATACGTCCAAGTCTCCTAAATTTTGCCGTTTGTTATACACACCTAGTTTTTATGTATACATTTTGAAAAAAG